AAGATTGGTAAAGGACACAAGTGCAAACATCAAAACACTTACACATTTTGAAGGTACTAGTAATCAAAATGTAAGCATAGACAAATTATTAATAATTTGTTAACTTTTAATTTTCATTCATTTCATTCATTTTCATTTGAGTTGACAATATATTTAATTCATTTTTCAGCGTCAACGAAAGCTTGAACAACAAAAACTTTCAAAAGATTTTCAAAAAACGTTAACAGAGTTCCAGAAAGTACAAAGGCTTTCAGCAGAAAGACAACGTGAATATGTCGATAAAGCAAAGGCGCATAATGTCCGAAATGACGTATATGAAGAAGAAGATGCTGTTATTCATGAAGCACAGCCTCTTATAAATGACAATCAACGACGAATTCAATTTCAAGTTTTAGATAATGAGGTCGAATATAATGAATCATTAATCGCAGAACGTGAAGGTGAAATCAGGGAAATCGAACAAGGACTTAATGAATTGAATGAAATTTTCAGAGATTTAGGAACATTAGTATCAGAACAACAATCGATGTTAGGTGGGTTGATTTTTTTGATTTATATTTAAAAATATCTACAGATTACTGATTTTAATAATTTTCCTATATACTTATAGATAACATTGAAAGTAATGTGACAAACATTTCCATAAATGTTCGAAGTTCAGCTGATGAATTGAGCAGCGCTAGTAGACTTCAAAAGAAAGCACGTAATCGTATGTGCTGTCTCATGCTTATTTTTGCTGTAGTGGGTGGTGTTGTAATTTTGGCTGCTTTGGCGTAACTAGGGTTTCGGCTCAAATTTTTTTTTTTTTTTTGAATTATGACATTCATTCATAGTTTGGGTTTTGAAATTGGAATTTTTACTTTTGTTCATAATTAAAACCCAAATATATATCCCATTTTCGATCAATAATTGTTAAAACCAATCAAATTTATTAAAATTAATGTTAATAAATTCAACATACATATGTGTATTTAATATCCAAACTAATAAGTTTGGGGCGCAACCCTAGGCGTAATTATTGACTTTGTTTTGGTTATAAAGTAAGAGAATGAATTAAAATTAGTATTCATATTCATTCTCTTTTTTATTTTATTTTATTTTATTTTATTTTATTTTATTTTTTAAACATCGCATTTAAATTGAAATTACGGTACCAAACAAGTCGGACTTTGTGGTATTATTATTTTTATTCATTTCGAGTAGTTGTTTTATTCTTATTTTCAGGCCAATCATTTTTATTTCATGTAATTAAATACATATATTTTTTGCATCAAATATTCTTTTCTAATTCTTAATTGTTCGGATTCTTCTTGTTTAATAGTAATTTCGTAAAGTTTTTTTATTCTTGTATTAGCATGTAAAGGACGTGAGAGATAAGTTAGGCCGGAATTTTATACTATGTTTGACTATTTTAATATTATTTGTCAGAGTCTAACGTATATATTATAAATTGATCATATACTATAAATTGACTTAGCTTTTGCCAAACCCGGTGGTTCCGAACTCAAATATCCTTCTGGCGAGCTATACATTTTATCGGTTGACAGCACTTATTCAAAAATATATTGTTTTAATTAAGATACCCAAGAATATATAACTTAACGTACAGTATTTGTAAAGAATATCAATCAATATTTCATTAACATTTTTAAATATACCGGTATATAAATTTATTGATTCATTTCCTAATCATTTGATATCGCTTTGTCTAAAATTAACAGTATTTGTAGTAGATATGAGCAGTAAAACATGATTTGACACAAGGCTCAAAACTAATACAGTATTTAAAGGCCTACGAACCATAATTATTCAGATCTTGGCAGCATAGCGGGCATTAATTTGATTGGATGATCGACCGAAATGTTACACAATATGTTCTACATATTAGCGTAACGTTT